TTTTCTTTGTGGAAGGATTTATGTGTCCTTCACAAGATGTGAGCAACTGAGCAATTGCAGCCTTCCTTAATAGTTATGGAATATATCCTACCAAGATTAAAGTCTTAGCAGTCCCTTTTTAGAGATTAAATACTGACCCTACCTGTTACCAGATGATGATGACGACAACGACAACAACCCTACAACCGTATCACATATATTCTGTTTGCTGCCAGTCTTATTCCCCATCCTCCAGCAATTCTTCAGAAAAGCAAATGTTTCACTTTTGTGTTTGTTACTTTCTTATACTTTCCTTGTTATGCACAAGCTTTGCTTGCCTCTCCACTTTCATAACCTAATTTGTGTCAAGACTTCATCAGAGTTTAACCAAGCAATATGTTTTCAATGTGAGGCCTAAGTTCTAGAGAAGATACCTCTGAGCATGTACCAAATGTCTTTTCCTCAGCACTGAAGAGGGAATCCATGAAAAAAAATGCAAAGATAAAATCATGCATGTTGTTGTTGTTAGTTGCAAAGTTGTGTCCGACCCATTGTGAGTCCATGGACAACATTCCTCCAGGCCTTCCTGTCCTCCACCATCCTCTGGAGTCCACTTAGGCTCACGCCGACTGCTTCAGTGACTCCATCTTGCCACCTCAATTTCTGCCTTCCCCCCATTCTTTTGCCATCTATTGTTCCCAGCATTAGGCTCTTCTCCAGGGAGTCCTTCCTTCTCACTAGGTGGCCAAAGTATTTGAGTTTCATCTTCAGTATCTGGCCTTCTAAAGAGCAGTCAGGGTTGATCTCCTCTAGGACTGACCGGTTTGATCGTCTTGCAGTCCAAGGAACTCGCAGAAGTCTTCTCCAGCACCACAATTCAAAGGCCTTAATTCTTTGGCACTCAGCCTTCCATATGGTCCAACTTTCACAGCCATACATTGCAACTGGGGAAACCATAGCCTTGACTATATGCACTTTTTTCAGCAGGGTAATGTCTGCTTTTTAGTATGCTGTCTAGATTTGCCATAGCTTTCCTCCCCAGGAGCAAGCGTCTTTTAATTTCTCGGCTGCAGTCCCCATCTGTGGTGGTCTTGGAGCCCAGGAAAATAAAATAAAATCATGCACAGGACTGGCCTGAAAGGCTAGGCCATTCAGTTGAATGGAATAGGAGAGGCAGCTTGCTCCGGCTACAGTGCCATTCTCACATTCAGGACTTATTTCTGAATGAATATGCAGAGGGCTACAAACCTCCTTGCAAAAGTAACTTGGGTTGCAATCCTATGTACATTTTCCTGGGAGGTGTATACACTTGAGTTACTTCTGGGTAGGCATACACAGGGCTATATAAGTAAGAAGTATTTATCTCCCCATCCCAAATTAACTCTTTTTATTAAAATGCCACTTGAATAATGGACAGTGGCAACTAGCAAAGGAACTGCAGATTTCTTCATCTGCAACCTGTTAAGTTGCTTTCATCAAAGCTGTGCAAGGAGAAGAATACTGTATTTTTCCATGTATAAGATGATACTTTTTCTTTAAAATATTTACCCAAAAATGGGGGGGCGCCTTATACATGGGGGGCTGAGAGGAGAACCATGGGTGCTGGAGGGAGGGGGAGACTGGCACAATTGCGGGTGTGATGGGGGGGAGAGGTAGGCGTAGGTGGGCTCGGGGGGAGAGACTGGTGCAGGCGCGGGCACGTTTGTGGGAGAGACTGGTGCAGGCACATGCGCAACAGCAGCAGCAGCTGGCTTGCTTGGAGATCAGTAAGAAAAGTGGGGGGCATCCTATACATGGGGGTGTCTTATAGTTGGAAAAATATGGTAAATTCTCTTGTCTCTTTGTTGTAAAGTCAAATATAGCTGAAAACTCACTTCCTGAGACTGCCCCAAGACTTGCTCTGGATGGAATAAAGAAGTGGGAAAGACCAGGATCAGGCTGGGAAGAGATGAGATGAGAAAAAGAATGATGATGTAGGTTTGGGAAATGTGGAAAGAAAGTATTCCCCAAGTGAAGTGACTCCTTTCACAGGCATAGCACTTGAGAGGAATGGGAAGGGGAGGTGCAGGGTGCGGCAGGGTTATAAAACTTAAAATTTAAAAATAATTTAAAGATGAGGTAGCTGAGGGCTTTTCCTTATCTTTTTAAACTGTAAAACTTACTTAGAAGTGGGTGTCTGGTGGCAGAGCAAAGAGGCATTCTGCACACATTCCCCCACCTGTACTTCTTGGAATATGATACCACACAGCCCTGATCCCCCTTTTTGATATAATCTCTTGCCTGAAATTTGATATAATCTGTTGTCTGAAAAAAGTATGTTTATGGAAGCTAATGAAATCCTTCACTGTACTGAGGCCCCTGGGATTCTGCAGAAGTTCACTGTCCCAGTATGGAGCAGTAAAATCAGATCCAGTCTAAAGCTATATATTTCACAGCTAGCTCTTCCAGCCCTTTCTGTTCCCTCTTCAAATTTCCAGTGCAAACCAACTTCCAGTAATATGCTCATAAGAGCATAAGAGGGGAAACAATGAGTAGTCGGAAAGATGGCTATGCCTCAAAAGTTTAAAAGGCTGCTGCCTTATCCTTCTGCCTAGCCTGTTGGTCTCTTAAGGGAGTGAGTCCTAAGATCTCTGAGTCATTGCTTGACTACTAAGCTCAGAGGGAAGAGACAAGATGGTATATTAAGGCAGGGTATATCTTGGGAGCAGTTTCAAAGATTCAGGGCACAACCCATTTTCCAAACACATAGTAATGGAAAGGAGTGGGTGGAAAAGGAGGATGGAGAGATGCACAGATACAAAATATTTCTAGAGAACCCTCTCCTTGTCCAAGAGAATTTGAGCATCTCCTTGCACAGACTTGTTCCAGGTTCAACTTGGAAGCTATTTTAAATGCTTCCAGAGATGGGAGTGATGGGAGCTGCCTGGAGAAATAAGTGGAAACTACAGTATTTGAATATAGCAAGGAATGGACACCAGTGTTCCTGTTCTCCAAAAGAAGCTCCACATAGCAGCATCTGCTCTTTCTATCTCAATTCTTATTTAGTGTGAAACCTTTAAAAAAATAACCCTGCCAGTACATATTCCAGAGCAAATGAGGTTAATCTCTCCCATATTGTGATTTGGAATGGGCAGTGGCTGATGACACTAAGTATTTGAGGAGAGCTCAGAGTAATTTATGAGCACCCTACAGTATTGCTCAGAGGTATGAGACTCCCACTGTAACTTGGACTGATGCTGAGTGAAAAGCAGAAAAATTCACAGCTTTTATCTCAACATTGCAAACTCGTAGTTCACTGCAATGCTCTTACTTTACGTTGGAGGGGGGACCCCAAAAGGGGATTAACTCTGTTCATTGCCCAGGAAATGCTTACTTGGAATAAAATCTTAAGAAATGGAATGGGGTATCCTACCAGAGGGCATGACTGGCTGATTGCTCTCTACATCTCAGCATTCTGTGTAAACCGACTTGTTGATCTAGAATCTCAGGCCTTGGTACTGCTCCTACAGTTGCACTTTTTTGCATTCTTTTAACCCTCTTCCTTTGTTATAATGCGGGGAGGAGCAGTATTGTGTGGTTTCTTTTTGCCCCATACTTAAATGCATACAGCATAACTTTCAGAAGAATTTATATGCTATACAAACTATGAATGGGGTCTGCCCATCCAGTAATGAATCCCTGAAAATGACAAATTTCCTGAGTATAGTATAGACCCTATACTTATACAGAGCTACTCTATGTGCATAGAGTTTTGCAGAGACAGGAGTGAGAATAGCAACTACAACCCTGCTCTATTCCTGTTCATCATAATCTTTTCTCTACCCAGGACCTGTGTAAGAATTGCCCTGCTTGATCAGCACCAAATCCATTTCATCCAGGTTTCTGTCTCCCATACCAATCAGACAAATGCCCTTGGAAACAGTGATGGTGGTTCCCAGTGATGGCTGCTTCCTAGGAAGACCCTGGGATTCTTGAGAAAGGTTTTACGTCCCTCCTCATCCTAGCATCCTATAGTCTTTGGTAACCTGGACTGGATGGTTGCCTTGTTATTCTAGTTTGTTACTGAGAGTTTACTCCTGGGATTGATCCACTCTAGAATATTCTGGGGAGGGTTCACATGGTCTGGTTAAAATTTCCTCTGTGCCCAACAGATGACCAGGCACAGGACAGGCAGTATCCAGAGAACACAGCAAGAGCATGGAGAGGTCCCCTGAGCCACTGTGAACCACTTAGTTCTGGCTGTGGCTTGACATTTATTTACATTTTAAAAGTTACTGTTCAAGGCAGCCTTCCCAATCCAGTGTCCCCCTCCCCCAGGGATGCTTAGCAGTATCATGGGGACACTGAACATGATTGTCCACTATTTTTTAAAAAATGAAGTAAACACCTTACCCATTTCAATGGAGCTGGGCTGTCAACTTATGACAGGCTGGTTCCATGTAAACCTTGGGAGACTGTGATTCTAGGAAAGGGCTGTTTCTTCCTTTCTTCACTGTGATCTCCTGCTGCCACAGGTGCTCTGTAAGTGTTCACAATGGGAGGAAACCCCTGTGGAGGGAGGCAAGCTTGTCACTTAGCCTTGTACCCACCCCTGGCTTTTCCTCAGATTTTGTCAGTACGCAAAGCAACAAAGTAAAGTTATCCACTCAAGGTAAATGGAAAAATAGAGGGGACAATTGGGACTTCTTAGCACTCTCCCCAAAACCTTGAAAGAAGGAAAATGCATCTGTCTCAGAAAACACCTTTGCTGTTTTGGAGGGGGAGGGGGTTGAAAGAGACTTTGTCTAATATTTATAACATTTGTATATGTATTAAAAGTGCAAGGTAAATGTGCTTAATTTGCACTGCTATTTATTTTGACCTTGAGTATGCTCTCTTCAGGTATTTCATAGCATCCAGGATGGATTATGGTTTCTTTGTTTTTCTCATTCTATTCCCCTTCCGAACAAAAATCTTTTCTTACAAAAGACTTACTATTTTTATTTTTATTTCATTTTATTGGGGACTTGTGTTCTGAACAGCTATGAAATGTCCAGAGCCATTGCTATATGAGCACTGTCAAGAAGGATGCACAAAACACTGTGAGAATGGCACCAGCACAGAAATCTGCACAGATTATCCTATTGAAGGGTGCTTCTGTCCACCAGAACAAGTGATCTTAAATGCCAGCTGCGTCCACGAAAAGGCCTGCACACAGTGTGTAAGTGAAGATGGGACACAACACCAGGTAGCTGTCTAGATATTACTTATTTTTGGGAGGGAAGCACTGATTCTCCAGTGGGCACACTAGTGTTCTATTCAAACTCATATAATAATCAAATACTTAAGTGAAAGCACCAGGTAACAGAAGCCATTCCCATATGGCTTGCTCTTCCATCCTTAACTACCTACTGGGGATAGGTAGGTCTGCTGCATATTTGAACAGGGTACAGGGGCCACCCAGCGATTTATGTGCCCTTGGACATTTGTGATATTGGGAACCCTTTGTTAAATTGGACCCATTTGGCTTCAGAATCTGTTTCGAGACACCCTGGCGAATAACCAAGTTTAAATTCAAACAGGCAAACACCACAGCTCCCAGGTTCCCTTATTATATATTCATTCATTCATTCATTCATTCATTCATTCATTCATTCACATATTTATAGGCCACCTATTACTGCCAAGAGGACTTGCTAGGTGGCTTACAAAATATTACACACACACACAAACACATTAAAACACATAAAAGATTAAAAACATGAATACAACAACAATATAAAAAGGCCACGGCATTCATAAGGGCTATGTATGATCTTTTTTTTTTAAAGGTATGTCTTTGCTTGGTGCTGAAAAGAAAATAGAAATGGTGCCAGGCAAATTTCCCTAGAGAGGGAGTTCCAGAGATGTAGAGTAGCAGTGGAAAAGACCCTTCGCCTAGTTGCCACCCTTCTCAATTCCCTGAGGGGTGACTTGCAGAAGGGCCTCCTGGGGTGATCTGAGGGGGCAGGTAGGTATATATGGTTGTAGCTGGTCCTAAAGATAGCTGGGCTCCAAGCTGTGCAGGGCTTTATATGTCATTACAAGCACCTTGAATTGGGCCTGGGCCACAGCTGGTAACCAATGTAGTTCTTTCAGAACTGATGTTATATGGGTCACTGTAGGAGTGCCAGTTACCAACCAAGTGGCCTGATTCTGCACCAGCTGCAATTGCCAGACTGTCTTCAAGGGCAGACCCACATAGAGCATATTACAATAATCTACTCTGAAAGTTACTGGAGAATTGCCCATTTATTTAAAGGAAAAGCTTCATCAGTGCAAAGTTAGCAATTACATCAGGCATCCCAAGACCCTTTGAGTCAGTAGGCATATTTGGAATTTTGAGGGTATCATGGGTGCTTCTTCTACAGGATCAGGTTTCAGGAACAGAGAGCAAGCTCAGGTAACACTCTGAGTCATACTGGGCTAGCATCCAGAGGGTAGTCTGTATGCTACTCTAACAAAGAACAGAGTGAGACTGAGGCTGCAGTAACAGTGTAGCTCTATTTTGGCTAATTGGCCACACCTCTTTACTGACTGAGGGTTGACCTTTTAAAGGTACCTGGCCTGGTTCAGCAAACTCAGGCCAGAGTAATAGCTATGGCAAGCTCATGTCATCATAACTGGAGTCCTCAAAGTCTGGAAAGAGTGATGCAGCCTCCTTTGGGTGTGTGGAAACTGATCCCTGGGAGGTTTCTGTAGAACTCAGTTCTAAGGAGATGGAAGACTTCTTATGCATTTCTATGATTCACTCTTCTCCCATTCAGTCTAATGCCTCTTTTTCTAAGGGCAAGCTATGGGATACTCTGAGGACAGATGTTCAAGTATCACTGCCTCCCAAGGTAGTTTTTTACAAATTGGAGGAGATCAGATTGACTATCAGGGGAGGGGAGGTGGAATGGCATGTTAAGCATGTGATTAGAGATAACAGGTACTCCTCTTCACAGGGAATCTCCTCATCACAAATCAGAGGTTCCATGGGGCTGTCTCCTTGCCCCCCCCCAAAAAAGCCCTCTATTGTCTCCAGGACAGGTGGAGGAACTTGGGGTGGGACTTAGGGAGGAGAATGAGTTCAGCACATGGAATAATTCCAAGCCTCTATAGGCTAGATGGGGAACTTCTGGGGACTGAATTCTGGTTATAGATGGATTATCCCAACTCTGCTTTGGGACTCCTAGCCTTCAGGTCTTCCAATATGCAATAGAAGAAGTTGATCAGAATGAAGTATAGAATGCTTCCTTGGGAACAGAACAGGCAGTGCTGAATTCTGGCCAGAGGATGCAGTCCTCAAAGAATTAGGTACTAGCAGAGAACCTTCATCTCCCAGTCTTGCAGGAATCTCAGTCTGCAGAACTGGCAAGAGTAGTTTAAGAGTCCAGTCAGCTCCTCTAAGATAGTTTGAGCTGAAAACATTGCAGGCTTATCACCCTACATGTACCTTCAAATGACTTTAGCTACCTGCTAAGGCAACATTTTCCTACTGTCCTAGCAAAAGAGCATTCTTGCCAGCGAAATCTATTCAGAGGTATCCAGGCTCCTATTTTCTTCCTGCATTGATCTGCATTTATGCCTTAAACTTTCTACCAGTTTTCCCTTTGAGCCTCAAGGAACAATGGAACATGCCAGTTTGTTCATCCTATTGTATGGGATGAATGCTGTAAAAACTGAAAACGAGGCTCTAGTGCTGACAATCAGGCTCTGTGAGCAAAACTGGCTTAACTTTCACTTGCAAATTTATGTATGTATGCATATATTTAAAACTTTTTAGACCATCTCTTACTGTAGTCATGGGATGGCTTAACAAGTAAGACAAAAATAAAAATAAAATATAACACCTGGCCATGCCCCCTGAAAGAACAACCCCCCCACCCCACCCCTAACATCCTCTCTCACAGGCCTCAGGAACAGTGAGTGTGCAGATGGAGAAGCAAGGTGGAAACCGCGTCACTGGGGGGAGAAGCTGGGCACAGTCCTTCATCCCTCGATGTTGGCAGTAGCAGCAGCAATGTCCCTTGGGCCTTCTGTAGCACAGCCCAGTGCTGAACAGGCAGGTGGGCGGCAAGCGGGCAGATGGTGAAGCCCAAATAAGACCCTTCAGGGTCAACTACAGACTACCCTGTTCTACACCTATTGGCCCTGTTCCCATACCTCCCAGGTGAAAGTGTCCAATCATTATATTTGAAAAATTGGAGGGAGCCCCAGGCTTATTCTACATTTTCCTGGTACAATACCAGTTGTACATGGATCTGTACTCTTTAATTGAATCTGATTATGCTGTATGATTAGCTTGAGAAAAGGCTGTGCACTTATATGGCCTATGCTATGTCTTTTGGATTCTTAAACATTTTTGCAGTCTTTCTGATTGAATTAAAACAAGGCTTTGAGGGTCCCCAGGAAAAGGGAACAAATTACAACATTTGGCATCTCCATCAAGAAGCAGGTTCACTAATGGACTGTGCCAGTGCTTTTGTCTGTGTGCTCAGGATTTAGATTGGAATGAACCAAAGAGAAGACCCCAGTCAGGGTAAGCAGGCACATGCACATTCATCTGTAGCATTGACAGATCCAATTAGCCAATGTCAATATAGTGAGAGATGTCTAAAGTTGCAGAAAGAGAGATACCTTCCACCAAGTCATTCCTACAAGCTGCAACAGCAGTGTAGAGATTAGCCTCCTCCTCCTTCCAAAGGAATGTTCAAAGCATGTGAAAACTTACTCAGATGAAAAGGAGGGGTTAGAAACCACAACTGAACTACCAAGGTCAATAGACTCAGAGATAAGCCAGGCACTCACTGAGAATCAATTAGTTTCCAATACTGCGGGAAAGTTTTGTGAGTGTGATAACTAGTTTAGTGAGGGGGCAGGTATAGTATCATGAATTCTAGGACACCATGTCAGCTAAAGAGAGCAGACTAGGTGAGAAGGATCAGCCACTCCAAGGGATTTGGACCTTAAGCAGGAGGTTCCACCTTGAGGTTCCATGAGCAACGCATGGTTTGCTCATTTTAGTTTGGAAAGGAGAAGAGGCATTCAGTTTATAATAGCTTATCAGTAAGATACTTTCCCTCTAATGGACTGTATTCTAACTGTCTTTGTTTCTTTTGTTATCTACTTCTGCACTAGCTTTTATTTTACTTTTAAATCAACCTAACTGCTCATTATTAGCATGATAAAACCTTAGTTAGAAAGCTGTTGGCCTGCTCTGAAGTTGGAGATGAACAATAGCCAAAGTGGTTGGACAGCAGAGTTCAAAGCCATGCAAATAGTTGGGGTACAAACTTTGACTTGTCCTATTCTATGTTGCTGAACTTTGAACTTCATTAGTGTGTGTAATTTATCCTTGAAATTGTTCTTAAACTAAGTAACATGCTGGTAATCATTGCTTTGCTGTCTGACTTATAGAGGTTGTAACCTTTAGGTATCATAGGGACTTCAAAAAATAATTTACTGGCATGAAATACTTAGCTGATATTTGTGTTTCTGTGTAAACTTGTCAGATCAGAAACATGGAATTTGGCTGGTCTTAAAAGAATTCCCAACATTGACCATTGCACTTATAGGCAGAGATGACACAGACACAGACACTTTATTGATGTTCATCATAATTTTTAAAATCATGCAGTTTAAAATAATCTGGAATTGAAATTTCTACTACTTGGCTCAATAAATTACTCTCCTGCACCTGATGAATGTTTGTTTGTTTCTGCTAACAATGGGCCACCAAATGCTTCTTGGAAGCTGAAAAATAGGGTCTGAGGGCAATAACTTTCTCCTATATCCAGCATTCAGAAATCCTGGCTTTGTAAATAAGGTATTTCAAATTGCTACTATGCTCCCAGTGTTTCTATTGCATCAAGCAAGCCTGAAAATGAATAGGTACATTCTTTGCTCATAGGTACCCTCAGTGGGGCAGATGAGTACCATTCCCAGAAAGCTCCATGGACCTACCCTGTTTCAGAAAGGAGTGTTTCAGCTTATTTCATTTGCTTAAGGAGCCACTAGCTTCCTCTTGTGCTACTGGTAGATCCCACTAGTGTACCAGTAGTGTCGGATACTGCCCTATTTAGTGAAGTTTCATTTGGCCATAATAAGTAGCAACCTTTGGTTGATTTATATGCCATGAAAACTTGTTTAAACCACTGGCTATCATTGCATTTGTGGAACAAATATTATAAATTAATTATTCATTCTGTGAAAAAGTGTACCTCATTATTTCCAGTCAATTTCATTACATGACCCTGGGTCTATACTTGCCTTCTTTTCTTCCCTCTGTTGATTTCCTTCCATCCCTCTATCTAAATTTTATGCCACATAACTCTGATGATGAAAAATATAGCTATAGCAGACCTATAGACTGCAGAGTATGTACTGATCATGGGTATCATCCTGACATTTTAGCTGAAATCTCAGGCATATTTCAATAGATGTATTTCATTGAAAATAGTAGTTCTTACTAAATATATAAGATTAAGCTGTTAAAATGTCCCACCTTTTTTTCTTCATTTGCCAAACACTTTAGCACTATTTTTTTATTTTAATAGTAGGACTTGTATATTTATGACCAATCTACTCCCATTAAAAATAGCTATGTGCTAAAAAGAGAATCTGGTACATTCTCAGTTTAGAATGGGCTGCTATACCTTTATTCTAAAGTGCTTGATCAAGGAAAAATGGGAAACATTACATATGTGGAAAATTTCCAGGGTCCAGCTTTACTTGAGTCCATGGAATAAATATTCAGTACATTTTAAAAAAAACTTTTAGCACACCTCCATGTCTTGTATTTCTTCTAACATTTTGTAATTGTGGTCATAAAATGTGAAAAAAGCACTGCACAGTTCTGATACATTATTTGCATCTTGTTCTAAATATATTAACCTTTATGTTAAATTGAGTGGTATCTCTGGTTTCTTGTGATTATTAGAACAGCACAAAGTACTACCATATGTACCAAAGTTTTCTGCTTTGTTTTATTTTTTGTCTTCTCTCTCTTCATTTCCATCCTTACCCATCCTTAGTTTGCATACTAAATAATCAGTAGATTTCTTTATTGCAAATAATATATTGTTCTTGTATAGCACTTGGAAACATGGATTTCTTCTAATGAACCCTGCAAGATCTGCATGTGCCTAGACAATAGGAACATAAACTGCACTGTTCAGCCTTGTCCAGCTGCTAAATGTAAGCAACAATTTTATGTAGTTTTAAATACATATATGAAAAGTATCACTTCTTTCCTATTTCATGAATTAAGCTCTAGTTCAGGCACTCTTTCCCAAATACTATGCCTAATTGTAGTGTGAAAATATGGGTAAATGTCCTTCTGGTTTCATTTCCAGAGCAGTGAAACTATACATACACATTTTATTGATTCATTGTCTCATGCACATTCTGAAAGAACCAAAGCAAAGAAAAACAGGAATAACTGCCAATCTGCAACTTGAATAGATCTTTCAGGAACCGCATTTGTTTCCTGAACATGCCAATTAAGCACATGTATCCCTGAAGCATGTTTTTTTAAGGACCTGGACAATTTTCATAATAGGATGGATGAATGTCAATGCACTTTTTCTGTGTTTCTCATTTCACCTGAACTTTGATTTTTTTAAAACGTTTGCATGAAACTTTTTAATGCATTTTGTATTTTCTCATAATAGGTACATTTTTGTACACATTTTTCATAATCTATTTTTGCAAGCTGCTTTTGAGTGCACTTTCCCATAATACACATATTTTGTATACATTTTTGATTGTAGAATTCCATTGCTAAATTCAAAAAAGTGTGGATTTCAAAAGCTAATGAATTTGAATGGTTGATTTAGAGTGCAAAGTTACTGAACAGATTGCTTCCTATTCCTGTTTTATGGGGTTTGGGCTTCTCTGAGAGGAATGTATAGTTCTGATTTTCAGACATGTGCCTGGAAAATAGAAGGGCCACAGAGAATATAGAAGGTTGGCTATTTTTGCTTTGGATATTAATAAATAGAGCTTACTGCTTTCCTTTCATTATAGCTCCTGTTTGTGGTCCCTGTGAAATTCCAAGATTACGTAGGGATCCTGGTCAGTGCTGTCCAGTTTATGAATGTGGTAAGTTTCCGCTGGAGGTCATATTTTGGGCTCTGCCCACTCTGTGGTACGGGGCACAAAATTCAGCATCCTGAGAATCCCAACTTTCTTTTTAAAAGAAAAGCAAATATATGTAAATGTGGCAACAAATAGAGTATTGCAAATGTGACTCTTGCTTGGTTCTCAGGAACCAGAGGAGAAAGAGACTGAATAAGATTTTCAGGGCATGACTGCAGTGCCCTAACTTATTAGTGGAGAATCATCAGGATGGCAGACGGTCACGAGTGGGGTCCCCCTGGGACCAATCAATCTTTTCATCAATAACCTGGAGGAGGGGTGACAAGTCTGCTGATTAAATTTGCAGATGAAACTAAAATGGGGGTGGTGGCTACAACTGAGGAGCAGGTACTCTGGATCCAAAAGGATCTGGACAGACTATGGAAGTGGGCTGGGGACAACAGGATGGCATTCAATGCAGATAAGTGCAAGGTCTTGCACTTGGGCCATCATAAGTACAGGTGAGGGGACAAGTGGCTGGAGAGCAGCACTTGTGAAAAGGATCTTGAGGTGCTTGTTGACTACACAGCCAGCAGTGTGATGTGGTGGCCAAGAGGGTGAACACCACACTTTGATGCATAGCCAGAAGCAGGGCTTCTAGATCAAGAGAGGTATTACTGCCACTCTGTACGACTCTGGTGCACCCACAGCTGGAGCATTGTGTTCAGTTCTGGGCCCCTCATTACAGGAGGGGTATAGCAAGGTTGGAACTGGTACAGTGAAGAGCCACGAGGATTTTGAGTGGTTTGCAGGGTAAGTCATATGAGGAGAGACTGAGGGAGCTGGGTTTTTTCAGCCTTGAGAGGAGGAGGCTCAGAAGGGACCTGTTAGCAACATACAGGTATGTGAGGGGGTGTCACGCAGAGGTGGGTCATGACCGTTTTTCCCCTGTGGCAGAGGGCAGGATGTGTTCCAATGGAGCAAAGCTCAGGGAACCAAGGTTCAATGTGGGTGCCAGGAAGCACTTCCTGATGGTTGGGATGCTAGAGTATGGAATGGGCTTCCATAGGAGGTGGTTGAGGCCCCATTGGTGAAGGGTGTTCAAGGATAGGCTGGACATGAACATGGTAGGCATGTCATGAGTGGAGCCAGCTGGAGCTGGTGGTCAGACTAGATGGCCCAGCAGGCCCCTTCTAACTCACTGTTTCTATGTTTCTAAATATCTCCTTATTTTCTTTATGACTGGCAAAATAAAGGATAAATCATAAATAGGAATAACAAACTCATTATGTGAATGCTGATTTTGTAACCAAAATGACACCATCTGTGCAGTTCAGGGGGTATATGCTATCCACCCAGAAGAAGGAGGTATGTGCAGGCTTATAGGAATGTCAAAGTTTTCAGAGGTTCAAAAAAGTTTAGAAAAACCCAGATAGCCTATTGAGCATACTCAGGGGCTGCAGAATGTTTGAGTGAGTGTCTTTTAGGGGGAAATGGAAAATCAGATGGAAGGCTAGCTGCATGAGTGCATGGATAGCTGAAATTCAGAGCAGGAACATTCCATATTACAATGGTTGCTGTTACAGGTCCCACTTGAAGAATGTATTAACTATTTCTCTTGTCTTATTTTTCCATCTTTAGTTTGTGATCTGGTCACATGTAAACTGCCTCCTGCACCTCATTGTGAAGATGGTCTCCAGCTTTTGCAGACAAATCCTGGAAAATGCAGACCAGATTACACTTGTGGTAACATTCTCTCAGATCATCAAATACTGACTTTATGTTCTTACACAGTCTCTGCTATGTGTTTACAATAGATGTGTTGTGTTTGGATGTATGCACTGAATTGTTGACACCTCTTCTTTTACAACTTCCTGTAACAATGGAAAAATCGCTTTATCATATCATTCTATGTTTTTCCATTGTTTTGTCAGTCTGCAAAAAGGAGGAATGCAACCCACCGTCCATTCCTTCCTGCCCACCACACAGGAAGCTTACTGTGAGGAAGACTCAGTGCTGTGATGAATATCAGTGCACTTGCAGCTGTGTCAATTCAACAGTGGCCTGCCCTACTGGACATTTATCAACATCTGTCACTAATGACTGTGATTGCACATCGACTACTTGCATTCCAGACAAGGTAAAAAAAAAAAAGACAAACTGTTCTAACTTCCCCTACAGAATGTCAGTTTTTACTGGCAAGCCTCACATCTGGAGTGGGTGGGTACAAATCTCATTCAGCTCACATACCTGCTTTCCATGTCCAAGGGGTTAGCTTTACATGTTGGGCCAGGAACTCTTCCTTCCTCCCAGCCAGATGCTTCCCTGATATCTGAACACTGAACATTTGGAAATGGGACCCACAGCAACATTTGTCCAATCTCTTTTGAAAACTAATTAAGCTAATTAAGCTAGTGATCGAATATAATGGAGAATAAATCTTCTGAAATAAAAATAAATATATAGCAATTTTCTAAAGGTTATCACTACCAAGCTTAACATAGAAACAACATAGAAACAGAGTGAGTCAGGAGGCCAAAGCTAACAGAGGACAAAGCTAAGACAGACAAAACACATCCCCTTTTTTATGTATAATAATTCAGACAAACTGACATAGAAGGTAGACAGCCTCATATGAAACTCTCTTCCTAAAATTGTTTGAAGATTTAGGACAACCATGCAGTCTGTGCCTATGAGAGAGGAGGAAGACGTGAGGAAGATTTATTATCCATCTTAAGATGTATTAATTTAATTTAAATCTTAAGATTTAAAGGATGAGTTTCATGTTTTTCTACCCCAGTCTTCCCATGAGGCACAGAATCAACATGTGTCACATGTTGCAGAGGATTCTGAGGAGACATGGGAGCTAATATGGGGCATTGGTTAGCCCTGTGAGGCATTGATGTAGCAGAATTTATCTTAAAATGCATCCAGCATTCCTGCAACTGCCCATTGCAGGAGAGGCCAGCAGTGATGGGCAACCTACTACACAAAAAATCTTGATCATTGATCACTTAACTCTATGGGTGAGAGCCACGTGGGACAGGGCGGGGCTTCGGAGGGCCCAGCGGCCTTAAAGCGCCGGCGGCGGCCGGGAGAACCAGAGCGCCGGATGGGGCACACCTCCCCCGCGCTGCAGGACCTTCGCACGCTCACCGACTTCACGCACCCACCAGCTGCCGCACCGTGCCTCCCCACGGACGCCAGCAACATCGGCCCAGGGGCACCAGCCAGGAATAGGACCGGTGCTGGCACCCCCCCCCACACGGGTGAGAGTCGTGCGGGACAGGGCGGGGCTTTGGAGGGCCCAGCGGCCTTAAAGCGCCAGCGGCGGCCGAAGGGCCGGTGGCCAAAGGGTAAAGGCCAAAGGGCGGTCGATGCCGTTTGGGTACCGTTCGGGGGCCGAGCGGGGGCTGGGCTGGCCAGGGGCTTTTGTTTTAATTGGCCCACCTGCCATTGGGAACATTAGGGAAGGGGGAGTTTTTAATTGTTTTTATAATTTTATTCTATTTTAACCTGTTTTTATGGAGTCGTCCCTGGCCATGTCGATGCTTGTGTTTCCTGGGAAGTGTGGGGGTGCCCCATTGGGGTGGTTTTGAGCAATGGTCGTAGCAGTGGTGGGGGCTTAACGTGTCTGCGTAGAAGAAGGAGGGACAGATGGTTGACACCTATCCCCCCTTCTGGTTTTGCCCCCAGCCAGAGGGTGCCAGGTAGTCTTGTCAACCACCCCTCGGGCCTGACGGTGCTGTTGTTCAATGCCAGGTCAGTCAATAATAAATCTTCCCTCATCCATGACTTGATTGTGGATGAGGGGGCCGACCTGGCTTGCATAACGGAGACCTGGGCGGGAGGGGGGGGAATGTTGCCCTCTCTCAACTGTGCCCGCCCGGGTATCTGGTTCAGCACTGTTCATGCCCGGAGGGGAGGGGAGGGGGGGTCGCTTTGGTCTACAGAGCCTCCATCTTTCTCACGGGACTTCCGGTCCCTTCGAGACCAGGGCTGGAGTGCCTCTACTTGGTGTTGGGCGACCGAGACAGATTGGGGATTCTGTTGGTGTACCTCCCTGCCTGAGCTGACAGAGACCGTCTCGGACCTGGTGTTGAAGACCCCCAGGATGTTGGTCCTGGGGGACTTCAATCTCCATGCTGAGACTGGTTTGACCGGGGCAGCTCAGGACTTCATGGCCTCCATGATGGCCATGGGGCTGTCTCAACATGTCTGCGGCCCGACCCATGAACGTGGACACACTCTGGACCTGGTTTTCTCAACGGGGCAGGAAGAGGGTGGTCTGAGGGTGAGGAATTTATGTTTGACTCCCCTGTCATGGTCAGATCACTTCCTGGTGAGGTTTGTGCTTGAGAGCAACCTCCCCCTCTGCAAAGGTACAGACCCGATTGTGTGGGTCCGCCCCTGGAGCCGGATGGATCCAGATAGATTCCTGAAGGCCCTGGGGGAGTTTCCGGCTGACAAGACTGGTGCTCCTGTCAAGGCTTTGGTTGAACTGTGGAACGGGGAGATGACTAGGGCTGTGGACATGATCGCTCCTAAGCGTCCTCTCCCACCGGGCAGAGCCCGCTCTTCCCCTTGGTATACACCTGAATTGCGGGCGATGAAGCAGGTTGGGAGATGGCTAGAGCGTAGGTGGAGGAGATCACGGGATGAATCTGACCAAACACACTTGAGAGCCCACTATCGGGCCTATGCTGTGGCGGTGAGGGCGGTGAAAAAGAGGTTTTTTTCTGCTTCCATTGCCTCCTCACAATGCTGTTCAGCAGAGCTTTTTCGAGTGGTGCAAGGCCTGGTTCATCCAGGTCCTAAGGAAGATCGGGTTCCACCCTCAAAGGCCCGCTGTGACGACTTTGCCAGGCATTTCAGGGACAAAATCGCTCAGATTCGTCACGAGCTGGACACCACTAGTGAATCAGAGGTTCCTGGGGAGACGCCAATGCTGCCATCTGGTCCAGAATTATTGGATGAATTTCAGTTATTGAGGCCCGATGATGTGGACAAGGTGCTTGGACAAGTACGTCCCACCACTTACCTATTGGACCCTTGCCCGTCTTGGTTAATAAATAATTCCAAGCACGGGATTGGGATCTGGATCTTGGAAGTGGTTAACGCTTCGCTGAGGGAGGGCGGGTGCCTGCCCCTTTAAAGGAGGCGGTAGTCCGACCGGTCCTGAAGAAAGCGTCACTGGATCCAGAGATGGCCACTAATTATAGACCAGTGGCCAACATCCCATTTCTGGGCAAGGTGTTAGAGCAGGTGGTGGCGGGACAACTCCAAGCACTCTTGGATGAAACTGATTATCTAGACCCATTTCAGTCCGTCTTCAGACCCGGGTACGGTACTGAATCTGCCTTGGTCGCCCTGTACGATGACCTGTGCAGGGACAAGGACAGGGGGAGTGCGTCCCTGTTGGTTCTCCTGGACCTCTCAGCGGCTTTCGATACCATCAACCATGGTATCCTTCTGGATAGGCTAGCGGGATTGGGAGTTGGAGGCACTGCTTTGTAGTGGTTCCGCTCCTATCTCACTGGCCGATTCCAGAAGGTGGTGCTGGGGGACTATGGCTCTGCACCATGGCAGTTATGCCATGGAGTACCGCAGGGGTCCATTTTGTCCCCTTTGCTGTTTAACATCTGCATGAAACCACTGGGAGAGGTCATCAGGAGGTGTGGGCTGCAGAGTCATCAGTACGCTGATGATACCCAGCTCTACCTCTCGTTTTCCACCAATCCAGGTGAGGCAGTGGTGGTACTGAACCGGTGCCTGGCCGAGGTAATGGGCTGGATGAGGGCCAATAAAGTGAAGCTCAATCCAGACAAGACGGAGGTCCTGTTGGTTGGTGGATTGGGCTTCGGAGAGGGTGGATTTAACCTAGTCCTGAATGGGGTTGCACTCCCTCTCAGGGACAAGGTCCGCAGCTTGGGAGTGCTCCTCGACCCGGAGCTTTCATTGGAAGCTCAGGTGACAGCGGTGGCGAGGAGCGCTTTCCTTCAGCTTCGGCTGATTCATCAGCTGTGCCCCTACCTGGAGTATGACTGCCTGGTGACAGTGACACACGCGCTGGTGACTTCCCGTTTGGACTTCTGTAACGCGTTTTACATCGGGCTACTCTTGAAGACGGTCCGGATACTTCAGTTGGTTCAAAATAGAGCTGCCAGGCTGCTGACAGGGACTGGGCGTTATGTTCACATGACTCCAGTTCTCCGTCAGCTTCACTGGCTTCCCATTGAAGTCCGGGCCCAATTCAAGGTGTTGGTGATGACCTATAAAGCCCTAAACGGCTTGGGTCCTGGTTACCTGAAGGAGCGCTTACATCCATATATGCCCGGCCACCCCTTGAGATCTGCGGGAGAGGCCTTTCTCTGGGAACCCTCCGTGAAAGAAATTAGGAGGGTAAGTACTCGGAGGAGGGCTTTCTCTGCAGTGGCGCCCAATCTATGGAATGCGCTCCCCAGAGAGGTCCGCCTGGCGCCGTCGTTATTTGTTTTTCGGCGCCAGGTGAAGACCTTTTTATTTAAGCGTCATTTTAATTGATAACAGTTTTTGCTTATTTTATCTGGCCAGGGTGACTTCTTTTATATTGTTATTTATTTTATATTGTTATTTTATATTTTATATTGTTATTACTGTTATTTTTTATGTTGTGAGCTGCCCCGAGGCTTCGGCGAATGGGGCAGCATATAAATGTTTTAATAAATAAATGAATAAATGAATAAATAAGTGAATAAATGAATAAATGTTTGAGTCTTAGGGTCTGAAAAATACAGCAGTATATCAAGGAAATCTTTCACAAAGATTTGTGTCTTTAGTCTTTCACAAAGTCACTAAAGCAAGAGCCATGTGAGAACAAATGATGTTCCATTTTCCATGCAATAAGTGTGCATTGTAAATATTGGCAGGTTTGTGTCCATGAAAATGTTGTCTATCCTACTGGGAAAACTTGGAAAGAAGGCTGTTCAGAGTGCTCCTGCACAGACATGGAAGATGCTGTTACGGGACTTCGAATCATAGAATGTCTTGAGAAAGAATGCAATAAGATTTGTCCACCGGTATGTAAAACTTCAAGATATCAATTAGCTCTTGTAAACCAACCAGTGACCTTCTGCTATTGGGTGGTATAGAAATAACAAAAACAACAACATGTGCACTCTCCTTGTTCACGTGGTACTCTCTGCATAACTAGCACTAAGTAGACATAACAAAGACTGTGACGGCATCATTTTTCTTACAATCCAAATCATTCTATTGTTTGTTTGTTTGTTTGCTTGTTTTTAGCAAAGTGTCATCTTCTCACTTCTTCCCCCTACCCCTTCTACTGCCCTTTTTATTTGAGAAACATTAAACATTCACAACAAATCATTAACAAAAATTACTAATGCCTGCTTTGGTCAACCAGCGTTTTGGAGTGTGCTGCCATCAGTATGCCAACGACGTGTAGCTTTGTTTCTCTCTTTCAACTTCATTAGGTGAAGTGGTGGATGTGCTAAACTGTTGTCAGGCTTCAGCCATGGACTGGGTGAGAGCTAACCAACCAATATCCAAACCAGACAACACTGAGATATTTTTAGTGGGTAGTTCTTCTGATTGACTGGAGGGTGTTCAGCCTGAGGTTGTGCTACCCTTGAAGGGGTAGGTTTTGTAGATTGGAGTTTCACCTTGATCCATCATTGTCCCTTGAAGCCCAGGTGGCTTTAGTGCACAAAGTGCCTTCTATGAGCTCCAGTAAGTGACCTAGCTAGTCTCCTATTTGGACAGGGAGAGTCTGATTTCAATAATCTTTTCTTTGGTAATCTCTAAATTAGTGTCCTTGAAGACTGTTCAGAAGCTGAACTTGTGCAAAGTATGACAGATAGACTAATAATTGGGTCCCATAGGTCTGAATAAATAAGACAAGTTCTAGTCTGCTTTCATTGACTGCCTGTTATGCTTCCAGTCCCAATGCAATGTGCTGGTTTTAACCTATAAAGCCTTACATGGGTTGGGACTATAATACTTAGTGCCTCTCCACACCACTATCTACCTGGACACTATGCTCAACATCTGGGGTCTTCTTCCAAGTGCCAATGCTGAGGAAGTCTCAAAGGGTAGAGGCAGGACTTTCTCCACAGTGGCCCACAACTATGAAATCTTTTCAGTGCCAAGTTACAACAGCCCTTTATGCCAAGGTCTTTAAAGATATACATAGATATTCAAGGGCTTGAGAGGATTGCCCATCTCAGGGGTTTACAGGTTTGCTCTTATCTATATGTTATTTTAGATGTTTTTGTTTTTAAATTTTTGTATTTTGGGAAAAAAAATTATTGTATTGTTTTTAGGAATTCTTGTAAACCACCCAGAAAGCATCAGCAATTGTGGGGAGAGGGGGGTATACACATGAAATTATTAATGATCTAAGAAGAACATTTGGTAGTTTTTCTGTTGCTTTTGGCAATTATATAAATGCCTTATTTAGTTAGAAAGTAATCAGCTTTTGATTATTATTGTTGTTTTAGCAATTATCTATCACCAAAATTAGCAGATGATTACTAGCTAGTGCAGCAGCACAAAAAAGATTTTAAAAAACCTAGTTTAAAATCTATAATAATTGGAAAGAATACAAAAGACAGAGGGCTGAGCAAATGGCAAAATGATTTTCATAAGAGTTGTCATCTTAGGAAAAACTCCTGCTAGTTTACTACAAATGAAGACCCAGTTGGGAGCACTTGAAGATCCTTGACCCCAGCATTTCAATAGCCACTAAGAAAGAAGCAGGATGAATTGGGTAGTTGCTGTCTGGCACAGAAACATAGAAATTGAGCAAGTCAGAAGGGGTCTCCCAGGCCATCAAGTCTGACCCCAGCTCCATGCTTTCTGACTCCTTTGTCTGCTAGGTCTTGACTCTATCTCTGAATCCTGTCAGATCTGTTTGACAACAGTTCTGCATCTTAACTTTCATACTGATAAAACAAACACATGAGTGTTTGTATCCTTATTTCCTAGACATAAGGAAATAAAAATGAATATCATTTTCTACCTTTGTGTGAAAATTCCACCGCAACAAAACTTCCACCATCAATAGTGGGATTTACTACTTTTATAAAATTTCTATGGTCCTAATCAGCTAGAAAATATGGAACAGATTTGCACAATCCTGAAAACATCATTCAGAAGTTAAACCACAAATTATATATTTAAGAACCAGGTTTTTACTCAAGATGTATTGAGAAATTGGTGAGGGTACCCTCTAAGATTGTGACTCCTTCTAAGTTCTTCACATGCCTTCAGCTCTAAACTAAGCATTTTTGCCAGTCCCCAAGCTTGTTGTTCCCATTCTGCAAGGTCTGCACATTGTACAGACAGCATGTTTGGAAACACTTGGTCTGGCTTGGCTGGGCGTGGGAAACTTTCCTTCATAGTCTTCCCTTAATCTAAATCTTTTTCCATGGTTTCATTTCCCTTCAGAGCAAGATGTGGAAGAAGCACTAGGTCTGCACATTTTTCTCAGTTGTGCAATAAAATTAATTCATTTTGACATCACAAATCAGTGTTATATTAAAGGCTACCAGCCAGGTCATAAAATCTGACACCTATTGGTAATATTAATAGGACAATTTTAGATCTGGCTTCTGTTGTTATCTTCAAGGCCAGGGGTCCTCAAACTTTTTAAACAGGGGGACAGTTCACTGTCTCTCAGACTGTTGTGGGGCCAGACTATAGTTTGAAAAAAATATGAACAAATTCCTATGCACACTCCGCATATTTTTTTGTAGAGCAAAAAAAAAAAAAAACCAGGAAAAACAATGCAATATTTAAAATGAAGAACAATTTTAATCAACATAAACTTATTACTATTTCAATGGAAAGTATGGGCCTGCTTTTGGCCAATGAGATGGTCAATGTCCGATTCCATATTCGTCACTGCTATTCGTGGCAATTGATGCAAGTGTGCATCAGTTAGTCTGGATATGGTTGCAGATTTCAGATGTTTCATTCGGGAAAAAGTCTGTTCATAGTCATAGGTGCTGCCAAAGATGGTTGCCATTTTGAGCGCATGGTTCCTGAAATTAAGAAATGTCTCAGAGGGGAGAGATGCGTAGAAATTAGTAAGGCTGCTTGACTTGAATGCGTCTTTCAGAGTCACAATTCTGTAGTTCGGCCAGTTCCATTTGGTAAATCGGATCAACAATTTCAGTGTCAACAGAAAATGGGTTCCAGAAAAGCTGTATGTCCTGTTCATGGAGATGAAGCTCTTTAAATCTAATTTGAAACTCCTTTTGTAACATTTCCAGTGAATTCACACATGTTTTGTTTGGGAATGCAACTGCTGGTTTTTCCGCCAACAGGTTTTGAGTTGTGGGAAATGGAAGAAGTTTTCCTCCTTCACTTGTTTGATGAGGAGGTCTAATTTTACTCCAGATGCTTTCACATGTGAATGCATATCACTGAAGAGCTTCCCCTTTCCTTGAAGTTGCACATATGTCTCTGCATATAGTTTGTAAAGATGGACTCAGGTTGCAGGACTCAGTGAATATTCAGTGAGTTTCTCTCTTTTTGAAAAACTGTTTTATTTTAGTTATTTATTTTTAATTAAAAAATGTTTGCTCCACTTGCTCAGGCTGCAGCAGTAGCCCAAGGTGATGCCACTCTGCCTGCAGAAAGGGAGAGCACAACACGAGGGGGAGCCATGAGGGTGTGCTCGCCTCGGTCGAGGTCTTCCTGTCTCCTTGCCGCCACCCCACTTCCAAGCCGGAGGAAGGTCCACTTGCAGGCACTCACCTGACTCCAGGAGGGAGAGTGGGAGCGGGAGGATGGAGAGGTGGGTGCGGGGTGGCTCCCCAGGCCAGGAGAGGACTGCGAGGAGGGAGGTAATGGCTGGTCTCCATGGACCAAGGTGAGGGGAGGCAAGGGATGGGGCTGTGGCCAACCAAACGGGACACCTCCTGCCTCTCCCCACCATGGGAGGGAAAAAACATGGCGGCGACTTGACGGCAATGGTGACTTGTCCTGAGAAGGCCACAGTGAAGGTGTGGAAGCCGCGGTCCCTCTCCTTCTCCACCTCAGCCCGTCCGCCCTTGGGCTCAGTGAGGCAGCCGCAGCGTGGCCTGCAGCCCAGGGACGTGGCTCATATAGTTAAAAATATATTTTAAAAGTTACATTTTTCTTACCTATCTTTTTTTAGTGTCTTCATCTGTCTCTCTTCCCACCACCCTCCTCTCTTCTGTATTCCCACTGTGTATTCCCACTCTGTATTCAGAGCCAACGCATGCATGCAATAGGGGGAAGAGCTGGTGCACACACAATTGAAGAGAACTGTTACAATTTGGTGCATGTGCTGGCTCTCTGCTAATCTCCAAAACTGAAAGAGTTTCAGAGAATGCCTGTGCCAGCTCAGAGCTTTCGGACTCATTCAGAGATCATTTTCTCCGAATGAGTA